ATTCAAGGTTGCGTCCCGAAGATCGGTCATCATAAGGCTTAGGGCCTTTACATAGGTGAGATCTAGGCCTATTTGGGTACGAGTGATGTAATTGAAGTAATCCGGGTGTTCGGTTTGCGTTTTGGAGCCTATGGGTATTTCGGTAAAGTGTCAGTTCGGGCTTTTGTGGAAATTGGATTTTTGTTCGGAAGGTCTTAAGGCTGGTATGATTTGTTAGAAGTGTAGGGCTTCTCGTTACCTTTTCATGGATATAAGTATTTAGGTTATGCATTTTGGGTTTTTTAACTTTTTTTTCCAAATTGTATTGGCTTTGTTTGAAAGAGTAATACAAATGAAGAACATATTTGAATTGTGATTAATAATGACTTATGCGTTAATGATTCTTGTATAAGTAATCATGTGAAAAAAAAATAATAATTGTGACAACCGTCAATTTTTGGCCAAGTCAAAGTCAATTAAAGTCAACAAGTCAAACCGGTCAACTCATCTAACCCTTGTACATTAGGGTTTCCATTATGTTTCTTATTGTACAACTCGCAATCCTCATACAAAGTATCACTTAGAGTTTTCACGTGTCCGGAAAATCTAAACCCTAATCAGGGAAAGTGATGACTCTACTCGATAAAACATTATTCCATACCCCTCGAGAGCGTATAACATTTATAACAAGGCTTAACAGAGTGTAAGAACCTTGCGTTACCAAGCCAAACACTCAAAAAGGTCACAAAAGAAGTCTCTCCAAATCTCTTTCACTCTAACTCTCCCAAATCTCGCGAAGTAGGAGAAATATCTCCAAGTACGTGAAATCTCTCCCAAATATCTCTCTGTATGAGAAATGTCTCCAAGTGTGCGAAATCTCTCCCAAATCTCTCTCTGTAGGATAAATCTCTCCAAGAATGTGAAATCTCTCTCAAATCTCTCTAAGTAGGAGAAATCTCTCCAAGTACGTGAAATCTCTCCCAAATCTCTCTCTGTATGAGAAATCTCTCCAAGTGTGCGAAATCTCTCCCAAATCTCTCTCAAAATCTCTTTTAACTTTTTATAATCTTTCGGGTCATCCCGACCCTTAATCGGGTCAAAAACCACTTAAAACGGGGTAAAAATGGGCAAAATAGCCTTAAGAACCGAAACCCACTCTTTAGGGGAGAACCTTCTTAGGGCCGAAAGTCCTCTTAAGGAACCGAACTGCTGAGAACCGAAGCTCCAGGAACCGAACTTACCTTCAGACCGAACCCTCTCTCTCGGACCCGAACCTCGCATTCGAACCGAGCCCTTCGGTCCATTTCGCTTCCGACACGTCTCGCTCCATTTCGCTTCCTGGCACACCTTCGCCTTCGGTCCCAGTCTTCTAAGGACCGAACCTGACCACTTTCGCCCCCCCCCCCCCCCCCATGCGAGAAGCCTCGCAGAAAGGCCATTTCTTCCCGGTTTTCGACTACAACTTCGTTTTAGGCCTGTTTTTCCTCATTTTAACGCGGGATTTTCACCCAAAACTTTATTTTAACAATTAAAGCCTCAAATTTCATTAATCCCCACGTTTTTAGTGCCAATCATATCCAAGATTTAGTGGTTGAAGTACAAGGGGGTGGAGTGTTGACTTTTCTTTGATTTATGACACAAGCAACCACCCATACCCACTCTATGACCAACCCACACCCCTCCCCACCATACCTAGTCACTTCCTTGTACTTTTCCATCAATCTCCAGCCATTCCCACGTCCTAAGAGCTGGAAAACTCACCCTTTCTCCTCATTCTCACTCATTTATCTCATTTCCACCCAAAGAGCAAACACTTTTCTCTCAACTTCTCTCTTTCAATTCTGATATTTCCAAGGCTTTTTCCAAGACTTTTCTTCTCCATTTGGTAAGTATCATCATCTTTCATATGATTATTACACTTCCTTCTACTCCAATCATATTTTTTCTTACACAAACTCCATCGTAATTGTGTTAGATTCTCGAAATCTTCAAGGCATCTTCTTAGTGTTCTTGAGTAGAACACTTCTTTTCTTCAACATCCATCCACTAAGAACACCCAAGGTGAGTTCATACCTCTATCTTTTCATGTTTTTCTTAAGTTTTAAGGGGGGGAACACAAGTTAAAACACCAAGAACACAACTAAACTCATTTAACAGCCTTCATCAGAAAAGTTCAACTCCATTCACGGACTGTTTTGGTCAACTTAAACATTTTATTTTTCACAACTGTATTAGGTGCAAATAGTTCAGGTTCATACCTTTAAAATGACTATTTGCACATCTCCATACGATTTTTCTACGATTTATGGTGATTTTTACAAAACTGCCTATCATTTCAGAAACAAATTCGGACCAGTCTGTGAATATGAACATTTTAACACAAGTTAAAGACTTCTAAAAATAATAATAAAAATTATGAATAAACTAGACATATTTTGTGAACTTTCAGAATTTACGGAATCAGTTTTTGACTTCGTATGATTTTTCTAGGATTTTTCTAAAACAGTGTAGAAAGGTAAAAATCTAGATAACAACTTATAACTTTCATCACACTTTGTAACTTGTTGAGCAAAGTGTTAATATTTGAAGATTTCATATTTTATATGTGTTTCTTGTTGTGGTATAATTATATAACAGAAAATACTCACTGAATTGTAAGAATCCTCCATTATTACCATTAGTACAAAAATAAGGCATGATAACACATAGTTATATTTTCCTATACATTCGACCTACATAGAAAAGGGTCCTTATACATCACAAACAAACATGCTAGAACTATAATAGGTATAGTTTAGGTTCACTACCACTACCACCATTTGATAAACTATAATATGCATAATTCAGGTTCACTATCACTACCACTATTTGGTGAATTATGATATGTATAGTTTATGTTCACTACCACTATCACTATTTGATAAACTATAATATGCATAATTCATGATCACTATCACTACCACTATTTGGTGAATTATGATATGTATAGTTTATGTCCACTACCACTACTTGATGAATTATGATAAGCATAGTCTCGGTCTTTGGTTTTTAAGACTACATTCTATCTAGCATTGTTAGTTTTCAGCCATAATTACTAAGTGTATATGCTAGAGTTATATAGAATGTAGTCGTGATCGACTTAGAATTGGTGAGTCCGCTTTATTTCCTGTTCCTTGTTTGGTTGTGGGCTTAGGGCAGACCCATTACATTCGACGGTCTATTTAACTTAAATTTTATATAACTTATATACACTTAGAGATTATAGAAGGAAACTATAGGAAATTCTAGGATGCACTATTTATTAATATAGAAACTTACGATTCACTCAAAATATCGGATTTTCTTTGGAAGCATATTTCTATTAAGACTACATTACGTCTAGAATTGTTAGGCTTCAGCTATAATTGCTAAGTGTATATGCTAGAGTTATATAAGAATCTAGTCACAATCGACTTAGAATTGGTGGGCCCGCCTCATCTCCTGTTCCTTGTTTGGTTGTGGACCTAGGGCAGACCTATTATATTCAACGGTTTATTTAACTTAAATTTTATATAACTTATATACACTGGGCGATTATAGAAGGAATCTATGGGTCCCTCTAGGGTTCATTATCGCATAACATAGAAGCATTCATTTCACTTAATAAAGAAAATATTGGATTTTCTGGAAACATACTTTGTCGCTTTTACAAGGAAAACGGTTTCTTTCTCAAACAAAACTCTTATGAACTCACCAACTTAATTGTTGACACTTTTTCAAAACTACTTGTATTCTCAGGAAATCAGTGAAACAGGAAAACCAACAGCATTTTGAGGATGGGACGATAAATCGTCAAACGTTTCATTTTGTCATCATAATGTAATTGATTTTGAAACATGTAAACTTATTCCATGGTGTAACCTTTTCAATTATATTTATGATTGTTGTATTTACTTTGAGCACTATTATATTCGTTGTTGTGATACTATACATGAAGTCCTCCACCCCCGGACGTTTCCGCCATCCTTGGTTTGGGGGTGTGACAATAATGAAGTCGAGAGGGGCGTTAATGATTCTTGTATAAGTAATCATGTGAAAAAAAAGTAATGAAGTCAAGAGGAGGTAACAGGTGGCAAAAAAAAATTAGACATAAATTTGTTTTCAAAAGAATCGTATGAAATATATTTGAAATTATGATAAAAACGTGACAAGGCTATAATTGTCCGCTTTTAGAGGGTGTTTGAGTTAACTTTTAAAATGACTTTTGACTTTTATCTTTTAGAAAAAGTCAAAAAGATGTTTGGTTAAGTGAAAAAGACTTTTGTAAATGACTTTTCCAATAGAGTAAATTGAGCCTTTTTGAAAAGTCACGATTACGTGACTTTTTCCAACTTTTCAACAGCAAAAAATATTAAATTACCAATATACCCCCCATCTACCCTAATTAATTCTTCATTCACAGCATATTCCCTACTCTCTCGTTCTCTCCGTCACTTTCTTCTCTCTCGCATCTCAATCGTTCCTGCAGCACTGACGACCTGCAACACCTGCAACACCGGCGACCTGCAACACTACAATAATTTACAATTTGTATGAACATAGTAATTTTAATATTGTCATGGTCTAATCCAAAAAATTAGAAATATTTTAAAAGAAATTTATATTTTATATTTTCTAATAAAATGTTTACAAAATTATAATATGTGTTTAAAAAAAATTAAGTATAAAATAATATATGTAAAGTAGTAAATCAATATCATTTTTAGTCATTTTACATGTAAAAGTTAAATCAAACACTTTAACTTTTGACTTTTTCCTTTCAAAAGCTAATCCAAACACATTTTAAAAAACAACTTTTGTAAAAAGTCATTTTACAAAAAGTCCTTTTACAAAAAAAACTTTTGCCCCCACAAAAGCTAAGCCAAACACCCTGTTAGTTATTATCTTTTTCTTTTTCTTGAATTAGGAAACAGAAAAATACTCTTTATTACTTTTCTTTCTTTTTAATGAAACTCGGGAGAGGGTGTTAGGCTTTGGATGAGTACCTGTCCGAGTCCGACTAACTCTTTTGTAATTGCAAATTATTACCTAACCATTCTTGTTCTTCCGTCTGGAGGACATTGATGGTATTGAATCTTGCAATTTTCCCAACAAAAACTGATCCACAGTCCACACCTATCTCAGTTAACCTGTTCCGCTGATCTGCGGATTCTGCCTTCTTTGTATTCTAGCCAGAAAGAGAAAGAGAAGGTGACTTTTCAGTCGCACTTCTACCGATTTGTGAGATTCCGAAACCATAATGTTATTGAATTTGAAACCCTTCAATTCATTCGCCATAACGATGCTAGGTCTCTCACTTCTCATTCTTTTTTGTTACATTTTCTTCGATTTTCCCTCCACCACCACTTCTTCAATCCCAATTCCAACAAGTCAAACGCTAAGTCAACTTCAATTACATCCCCAATCTGATCCAGAACCGTTTCAGCTGTTGTTGGCTGCTTTCAGAAAATGGGATTCTCAAGTAGGTTGTTCTAATTTTAAAGCAAAACATGTGGATTTGATGAAACAAGGGTCAAATTCATCATCTTTGCAACGTGATGATCGTGATTATCAATGCAGTGAGTTGAAGATGAATCATGTGGGTGTGTTGATCAAAGGATGGACTTGGATTCCTGATAATTTGGATAATTTGTATTCGTGTAGATGCGGTTTGAGCTGTTTGTGGACGAAATCGCCTGTTCTTCTTGATAAACCGGATGCCTTGCTCTTTGAGACCACCACACCTCCATCTCGAGTACCATTCTTACCCATTTAACACCTTGCATATGTGTGGTTTCTGTGCATCAATTTTGGTACCTTTCAAATTCTAAATTGGCATAAATGTTTTTAGATTCTATATAAAAAATGTTCTTATTCTCATATTTTTCCTGAAATCAAAAGAATTCTTATCAATTTAGGGGTGTTTGGATTTTCATCTAGATTTATTACTGCAAATTCAGAATAATCAGCTTAGGGTAATTCACAAAAATTGATTATGATTTCAACTTTGAAATTATTTAGGCGAAAATAATCATTTGGGGTATGCCCATTTTCATAAGATGGTTAGCTCAAGGGAGTTTATGTTGTTATTAGCTAGGAATAGGATGGGTGTCGATGCAAATCTAGAACTTTTGTGGTGATATCTTGTCTGCCTCCTAAGAAATCAATTTTGTGTACTTACGAAAATGCCCCTAGTCATTCTTTCCTATTTTCCAAGATTGAACGTAAGATGGACTTTGGTTTGTAGAGACGCAAGGGAGATCCGCTTCGTGTGTATATGGATCTTGAGGCGGGTCGAAAAAGATCCGGTTTTGAAGACATTTTTATCAGCTACCATGCCAAAGATGATGTTCAGTCAACTTATGCTGGTGGCCTCTTTCATAATAACCGTAATTATTATCTTTCTTCCTATAAGAACAACGTAAGTGCCACATGCTTTCACTCTTTATAATAATCATCAATTTGATTGGGTTATATTCTTGTTTTTGCAATGGCATAACAAAGTTTTTTTTTAGACAAAATGTAAAACCATGTTTCAGTCTAGGACCAAAGTATTTAACATGTTGAAACAGTTGTAAAATCAGAGTCGGTTGCAAAGATTGGTACTAAAAAAAAAAAAAAAAGTTAAACATTATTGGGTAAATAAACTTTTAACCAACGCCATGCCATTAGATAACAAGTTTCCGGTTACTATGTGGTAAGAATAAAATATTGTTGCATATTACGTCTTTTGTAGCATAAACAAGCATGTAATTGTAACCCTTTTTTAAAGTTTTGAGTATTGTACAACACATCACAAAGTATAACTGTATAAGTTGATGGTCTGCAAATGCATACCACGGATAATAATGATTAAAAGGGCTGAATGCAAGATTCGTTTACATTTCCTTGTAATACATTGTACTTGTACTTTTTTGAAAATATGCCTAATTACTTTGATTTTTTTTTCCAACCATACTTTGAAAATTCTACCCAATTATAGGGTAGATTTTTTAGTAGAATGATGTAACAAAAATAAATTAAAAGTTACACTAAACAAATGAATGAAAGTACATTGCTGTCTTTTGCATTTACCTCTAATCAAAATAACAAATATTTTTTTATGGTACAATGCTGTAATAGAAAAGAAAGAAAGTAAAATAATAAGAATGTTGGGTGTGAATTGTGATTATCAGGAAACTCTGGTTTATTGGTCATCCTCACGGTGTCTCCCTGAAAGGAATAAAGTCGCAAAGACAATACTCGGTTTATTATCTCATCATTCATTTGGCAAGTGCCTGAACAATGTAGGTGGTCTGGACATGGCACTTTCTCTATACCCCGAGTGCACTAAAGACCCGAATTCAGCCCCTCAATGGTGGGACCATCTTCATTGTGCCATGTCACACTATAAATTTGTTTTAGCAATTGAAAACACCTACACCCAGAGCTATGTAACCGAGAAGTTGTTTTACGCATTGGATTCGGGGGCGGTTCCCATATATTTTGGTGCACCGAATGTGATGGATTTTGTGCCTCCGCATTCCATTATTGATGGGTCAAAGTTTAAGTCAATGGAGGAATTGGCTGATTATGTCAAGGCACTTGCTAATGATCCGGTTGGGTATGCAGAGTATCATGCTTGGAGACGCTGTGGTGTGGTCGGGAACTATGGGGACACACGCGCCACGAGTTTAGACACACTGCCGTGTCGCCTCTGTGAGGCTGTTAGCCGCAGAGCTGGTAGGGATAGGTGATGCTGCTTGCCCTTTTTTGTTCAAAGATTTTGTTTTAGGTATTAACACCATATGAATATCATGTCATGTGTCTGAGTGTCATACATATAAGCTTATTTTTTTCTTTTAGATGTATTATCTTCTTCTCTGTGGACATTGAAGTGAAGCCAAGCCACATGAGTTAGTTGTGTATTCCAAACGAAGGATTTGCTATTAAGAATCCAATTTTGAATCCAGTTGCCATGTTATGTGCATATCTAAATCAGGCAATACTAGTTTTACATATCATTGTTTAAGAGGTAAAACAACTTCACTTCACTTCCATTTTTTTTATTGTTGTAAAAGTAATTTTAAATTTCAGAGTCATAACACTTAATTTAAGAAATTCATTAAGCACTTAAGTTTTTGTTGTTCCATCCATTTGATTGGAAGTTGGACAACAATAAATAGAAATAAAAGTTAATCACAAACAACATTATAACATCATCGAAATATTGGGTTATTCCATCAAGTTTACATATTATGACACCACACCTCTTTCTACAAACATTTTGAAAAAAATAAATAAACGTACTTGTCGTCGTTTTATGTTTTACAACATTTATACTAGATATTTGCTATAAATCCATGTCTTTCATATTTATTAGGGAGGAGGGAGTCATTCCCACTGGGAATGTCACATCAATTTTTCTCTTTGATTTTTCTTCATCTTTCCCGACCCACAACACACGGAAATCCTATATTTCTCAACCTACTCAACCCACTCAATTAAAAAAAAAATACTAAACAACTAAGGTACAAGTCTTAAAACACATGGTACAAGAGAAAATGAGAGAGAGAAAGTAGAGAGAGATGATGAAATGGGTTAGTGAAACCAATTAAACAATCCGCTGGAGAGGGAGTGGTACCGTCGGTAACTCTATTGCTAATTAAGATTTTACCTTAGTTGTTTAGTATTTTTTTTTTAATTGAGTGGGTTGAGTAAGTTGAGAAGATAGGATTTCCGTGTGTTGTGGGTTGGGAAAGATGAAAAAAAATCAAAGAAAAGCTGATGTGACAGTGGGTTCAGTGGGAACGACTCCCTCCTCCCTTATACACCAAAATCCAAATCAACAAATTTTGCATGAAGCAAGACTCTAGCGACGAGCTCAACATAACATTTAGATTTTTGTCACATCAATATCATTAGGGAGGAGGGAGTCGTTCCCTCCCAACCCACCGAACCCACTGCCACATCAATTTTTCTCTTTTATTTTTCTTCATCTTTTCGAACCCACAACACACGGAATCCTAACTTTTTGAACCCACTCAATTAAAAAAAATACAAAACAACTAAGGTACAAGTTTTAAAATACATGGTACAAGAGAAAATAAGAAAGAGAAAATATAGAGAGATGATGAAGTGGGTTAGTGAAACCAATCAACCCACTCGTTGAAGCGGGAATGGTACCGCCGATAACTCTATTGCTAATTAAGATTTTACATTTGATTGTTTTGTATTTTTTTTAATTGAGTGGGTTGAGTAGGTTCAAAAAGATAGGATTTCCGTGTATTGTGGGTTCGGAAAGATGAAGAAAAATAAAAGAGAAAAAATGATGTGGCAGTGGGTTCAGTGGGTTGTGAGGGAATGACTCCCTCCTCCCTTATAACCATCTTATTTTTATATATATTAACACAATAATTATTTATTAGATTTGTACAGAATGATATGATTGCCAATTTTTAATTATTAGCGTCAAAATAATCATATCTGGAAAATTAATTGTTGTTCCGGTTTCAATATTAAAAATAATAATAATAAATAAATAAAGCAAAATCCGGTAGATTAAGAAAGGAACGTTTGAGGATTTAAAGTCAGACACACACACACACACTGCCATAATCATAATACATACATGTATATTATTCTATACTATACAAGCAGACGGTAAATTTAATAAAGAAAAGAGGTCAGGCCGGTTTCCAAAGCGTAAGCACCTCCTGAAACATTTCCTGTATGAGTTCCCTCTCAGCAGTCCTAAAAAAGATATTAATCTCATCTTTGATATCATAAATCTTCCCAAAATCAAACAAATACGTCAAACACCCTTTCTTGAGTTTCTCAAGCTGGTAAAGCCACGCCTCCTGCAACCTCTCAAGCACATTCCCTGAGTTTATATCTTCCAGCAAACTCTCCTCACACAAATCCTTCAAATTCCCAATCCCATACTTATTGGCGGCACTCAGCAGTGGGACCCGGTGGCGCCAGAACTCCTCCTGCTTGATGCTTCCATACAAGTAAGACAGAAGTGCAGTGCAAGACTCCAAGGACATGTCCTGGATGTTAATGGTGGAGGATTCTTTTTCCTGGAGGTTGTGGAGGAACATGCTGTGGAAGACGGGTGAGCTGGCAGAAAGTATGGCTTTGTGGGCTTTTAAACTCCCATCACACGTGTTGATGGTGACGTCAGCATCGATGGACTCCTGGAGCATCCGCGAAAGGCAACGCAGAATGCTGTCTGTTGCTGATGACCGCAGCATTGTGTCCCGAGGCCATATCGAACTTGCTTCCTCTCCCTGCCCAAATTTATTACTATTATTTTTTTTATCTTCTTGCTACCAATTGGGCAATGTACTTACGTTTTTCTTACTCATTCATGATACCAATATACTTATGTTTAGGTAACAAATAAATACCCTCTTCTTCTACTTTATTTGGTACATCCCGAAACTATATTGGTACTATGACTTATGAAATTTAAGTACATTGCTATTATCGGTATAAAAAATGTAATTATGTTTACTATTATGGGTAATAAATGTAAGTACATTGCTTATGTAAAAAGTTGAAAGTAAGTATGTATGTTACTATTATGGAGTTGTTCAGTAAAGCATGAAGAAAATATTTGTTGAATTCGCAATATATAATAGTAACACATATTCTAAATTATGGGCGTGTTCGGCAAAATTAGTTGGTAGCAGGTAGCTTGTAGCTTGTAGCGATTTGTTAAACGCTACATGAAGTAACATTTGGATTTGGAGTGTTTTGTTTAAATTAAATGTTAGAAGCTTGTAGTGCCGAACGAGGCTTTCTGTTTAAAACGGAACGTTTTGTCAAACGCTAGAAGCTCTCAAACGCTTTGTGCCGAACACGCCCTATATCTACCAACATAACTATTAACTAACCTAACCCAAGTGCAATGAAAACCAGAAGGACCTTAAATAACTAATTAAACAAGGGGAAGGAATTAGAAAATGAAGATATCATAATCTACGTTTTGATGTTTATTTTAGATTATATATATATATATATATATATATATATATATATATATGTCATTATATTTTCTATTTTTATTTATTTCAATATATAAACAATGGGTCTTTTAACAATAAAGGGAAAATCCCCCAACGAATGTGAAATACATGAAACATGGAATTCCAATTCCGTCCAACAAAACATCCCATGTTATGAAAAAGGTTTGGTTTTTGTGCAGACCCTTAGGAAAATTATGAAAAGTAATAGTAAAATGAAGTTGCTTACATTAGCTGAATAAACCTGAAGGTCCAAGAACTCGACATCTATGATGAATCGACCATGGAAAGTAGAATCAACAGGCCACACAAAGTCTTCACTTGTCCGAAGAAGTCTCTCATGAACTGCAACATTAATCAACCAACTTTACTATTTGAAGCTAATATAAAGTATCCGCCAATTTGCCCAAAAGGAACTCATGTCAAAATTTACAAAGCATGATTATTTTACTTTTTTTACATTTCCCACAAGCCCGACGTGCTAGCATTTACTAAATTCATCCGTTTTACTATGGAAATATGCCAAAACTGGATATCTGAAATTCCAGATGCTAGATTTTGCTATCAGAACTCGTTTCTGAAATACTGGATACGGGTACTCGAATCCGAAATTTTAATCTATGAATCTACAATACTTTGTCTTTTTCAAAATCTCACATTATTCGGAATTAAAAACCAACTTATTTCTTTTACACTCAAAATGTATATGAAGAAAACAAACCCATTTAATGTTTCCACTTGTTTCATTTGACAATTACATAGTAACCGACAAATGTAAAATAATTTTTTTTTTATGTATTTTGGATAATCCGGAAATACATAATTTTGGATTTTGGCAGTCAGAGAGCATACTAATCCGAATATATAATCTAAAACTTGTAAAATGCGTACAAGCTTCACGTTACATATTGCTAGTATCGGTTAAAATATATAAGTATGTTCCTATTATAGGTAAAGAATTGTTTGTGTCTTCATATAATGTGTAAATAAAAGTAAGTATATTACTATTATGTGTAAAAAAATGAATTACACTCTACAAGTTTCAGGTTACATATGGCTATTATCGGTAAAAAAACATAAATAGTTTGCTATTATGGGTAAGGAATTGTATGTACCTTGTTGTAACGTGCAAAGAAATGCAAGTACTTTACTATTATGGGTAAAAGTAACGTACAAATTTTACAAGTTTCAGGTTACATATTGCTATTATCAGTAAGAAGTCTAAGTACGGTGTTATTATGGGTAACGAAATCAAAGTATATTGCTATTATGGGTAAAAGAATAAAGTACATTGCCCATATTAGTAAAAAGAGTAAACTTCATTGCTATGTCCTGCAATTTGGCACGAATTAAAGGCGTAAGAGAAAAATAAGATATATGCGATTATTGCCTTAAATATAACAGGATGATATCAATACAATTGTTACTCTTGAATAACTACATCACCTATAATTTTAAAATTATTAAAACTAGTTTTGCTAAGTATTATTAGAGTAACTGTTAGTACTTTTCTTTAGTATTCATTCTTTTTGGCTTTAGGACAAGTGGCAAGTACTATTATTAGCATAAACATTTATGTACGCAGTTATATAGTAAAAAAAAAGGGTAAACCAAGGACATCACGTGAAATAATGTTATATAGTGAGATACGTTATATGTATTTTATATACATGCATACGTATGTATAGACATAAATATATACAAGTATTTACACATATGTAATTATGTATGTGTGCATATAGCTTGTAATCCCAAGATACTATTAGATGATTGAATACCAAAACACTTGGAAGATTTTTTCTTTGATTGTGTGAAACTATCACCTTTCACCTCTAGGTGATATGCCTTTGGTTGGCGTGGGAGTGATGCTCTAGAGATAGTACTGGTTCTT